ACTAAGCTATGTACTAACAGAAAGGCTGCATTGATAAAATCAGTTGTAGAAATATTCGCAGTCGTTTCATGTAGGTAATGCAAAACGTATTTTTAGCTCGGAACCCATTCGTGTGACGTAACGCAATTGCCATTAAACAATTTGCCATAAATAGCCAGCCGGCAATAAATATATCGTAATTATGTTTTTTACTGCCGCCACGCGAGTCGCAGGCTCGCAGGTATACATGTTTTAATTGCATTCTCATGTTTGTTAGACGATTTCATTTATTATTTACACAACACACTTTTTGGCACAAACAGACGCGAGGTACTGACATACTGGGTTCACTTTAAAATCGTTATTTGACAATCTGCCAATCTGCTAGTACAAGTTTAGAGGCTTAGTTTAGGGTCCTACAATATGAAGAAAGGATAAATGTAGGCGTTAGAGATTGCTATCTATTCGAAAAAGAAATATTTTTCGACTTGACATTTACTTCTAACTTTGAATGGAAGAGTAATCCATTCTAGCGTTTCATTTCTTTTCCATAGCAGATCACAAGTGAAACTTTGTCTTTTGCCAGACTGGTTTTCGTACAAAATAGCGAAATTCAGAAATCTTTTATGCTCTAATGACATGGAAAACGCACAGAATGTTATGAAAGGCTGCCCTTTTGAAAACGGGACAAAATCAATGATCCGAATCTATTTGGAGGACACACAGTCACTTTTACATATTCTCCAGTATCCACCCCCTTCATTTGAGCGAATGGTGGACGAGAATCTCATTGGACATCAATGGCCCACATTACGAAGTCATGACGAGGGTACAGCGACGTATTTTTCAATGGGCAAACACGCTTGATGCACATGATTTGGACAAATACAAGGACCATTGTGATTAAGGACCACATTGATCGGTGTACCTAGTACTTCGAGCAAATATAGACTCTCAATTCTAGGATGAGGTTTTAAAACTAAGAGCGTTATGAGATGCTCACTTACATTTCGGCACAAAGAAAGATGTGTCTTGTGAATTTGTACAAGTGTTTACGTATTAAAACAGGTTTTATTTAAACGTTCTTTGCATTTAAAGTAAAACTACTTGTTTGTGTACAATTATGAATTCACCTCAGATGATGGCTTCATTATTTTCAAGGACGACAAAAAGTAGAGATAGTTACCTACTATGGCTATATTTTCTGAAGTTGTTTTAATACATATTTTAAATTTACTTTACTTTTACAGTCATGGTTCTGGAGTAAATGGTCTCTTCGAAGTATTATGTGTGCACTAACTAATAAGTGTATTGTTTGTCACTTTGCAACGACAAATTGACAACCAATCAACTTGATTAACCCCCAACAAAAAGTTAATATTTATGGCTGATTGTCTGCGGTTCCCACTAAGCATAAACTTGACACTGAACTACGAAACGACAGTTTTTGTGATCACATAAAAGTCTTTATGAACATTTCAAATGAACGGTGTGGAGAGGTTTATTACAGACACTGGCGGCTGATTGTATACCGGGAATACGATAAAAGACTACGGTACGTTTATGAGCGGGGAAATAATTTGTTTCCTATGCCGTTTCGCATCCGGATTCGCGAATGGGATCGGAGTTTTATTCAATTTCATTCATTTCCATCAATTGCCTTCGTATCGACATACTGGAACCGATCATGGATAAAACGATGTTTGCTTTCAGACGAAAATAAATGGATTGATTGAGAATCTCGGTCCTTGCAATTTTTTTATTGAGATGACATTTTTTCTTGATTTTGGTCCTCGCTTGCGGCGAAATATTATTTAGGGCAACAGTCTATCAGCTCAATAAGTATTACAATGGATATAACTGGCTAAAGTTCGAGTTTCGTGATGTAATCCTTATTCAGTTATGTGCCAGGATGAATGAAAACGGCAATTAGTCTAATAAAAAAGGAACAATAGCATACAGGACGTTCGTATATCATTTTATAACCTTCAAAGTTCAAATCCAGTGAGACAGGTCAAACAAACAATAGGTGAGTTTGTACTGTTGGTTATGCAAATCATACTTAATGTTAAAACAACGCTTATTTACGTTGCTTGTAGGAATCTGGTTTCTTTTATTATGTTTGTTAACGTTTTTAAGTGAAAAGGGAGGCGAATTTTTACTTTATAACTAGGAACCAGTGGAATGTATCCGACATACAAATAAGAGAAATGCACTTCTCAACTCCATGAAACTATCAGTAATGGATGTTGGAATGTTTAATGGTATTTTAGCTAGGCCTACATCTCAAGCTGAAAATTATATATTTATTTATATTAGATAGATAAGTAGACTAAGTTGTTTTGTTTGAGTTGTAAATACATTTGTTATGTAGAAGCACGATGGGATTGACATCCATGGGATGGGATGGGATGGGATGGAAATGAGATTTTAAAAAAAACTAGGAACCTAGGAACCGTACATTTTGGACAGATTTCCCGACGATAAATACTTTATAAGTCGTAAAGGAAAGCATAATTACAAACGTTATCCTTCCACATCACAAAACATAAGCAGGTAGACACTTCACGGAATACAATATTTTGCAAATCCAATAAAACTTTGAAGTGGTTTCCTCGCAAAATGTTGTTTGTTCGGAAAATAAAGATTTTGTCAAAGGTCGCGTGAAGAGCGACGTAGTTTTTTATATTGTTTATATTTTACGTGCTTACCTACTTATTTCGTTTGTATATGGCTGTTTGAGTACTTATTGTAGAGGTAATATACAATGTGCTGTCTCTTTTATTTTCTGTACAAATTATTATATCAGATTTTAAAATAAAAAGAACTTAGGTTTTTAGTCTTTTTTCGGATGCAAAATGCGATTCCAAAGACCATCGTGGTTTCGTGGACCATGGTGGTTACAGCAAAACATAAAGAGATAGAGGGTTTCGTTTAGCAGTGGAGATCTTCCAGATGAGGATACTTTTTTAATTTTTTCATTGTATACTAGTCCCAGATGATATGCAACCAGGCAAGCGTAGCTCATCAGAAATTCTAAACGAAATAAAAATTTGGAATCAATTTAACAATTAAAAATACGCCGATAATACAGTTTACAATAGGAGACAAGGAAAATGACTTAGTGTATGGTCTTTGAACCCAACAATTATTGATGCACGTGTCGTCCAGTAGCATTCGCTCGGAATATATTGATGGCCATTAGTTCCGCCGTCTAAGATGTGCGTGAATAATTTAGATCACCATACTGACGCAGACGCCGAGGTTTCATTGACGATATTTCGAAATGTTTCTCTTTGCATTTGTAGTTATTTGATGGCTTTTTTGAAGGGAGTTATGTGATGGCTTTCTTTTTTTTTTTAAGGGGGGAAAATCATCGAATGACTGCTCCCGCCTGGGTGAGGCGGAAGGGAGTGTCAGACTCTTACTGACTAAAAACCACCCCGTTCCTTCTCCTGCACGTCGAGCCGGAGCCCCGGTTACCCGTTAGGTTCTCCGCGACTGAGTTATGTGATGGCTAGCATAACTCTAGCCCATATATAGCTCACATAACTCCTCACTATAGGCTTCTGCCTATAGTCACTATAGGCAGAAGCCTATAGACGACATGAAACCTTTCTGTAGTTTCAGTCTCTTTTTTCGGTACAAGTCATAATCATAAGAAGGAATTAACATGTTATGACTAAGTGGTTCTGATTTTGTAGTATGATGGAAAAGAAGTAAGCCCGAAAAAGAGAGTTCAAGAGACGCATTTCTGAATTGTCGGATATGATGGCGTCGGATAGCGGAGATTGGGAAAATAAGACATATCTATTGTACCGACTCCAAGTATTTGGGTCTATTAAATGACCAGGTATTCGTTTTTGTTAAAGAATTTATACCACCCAGGTTAGAAGTTTCAACACTTAACGTTCCTATCAGTTGTAGAATGACCACTAGATTAGACCAAATAGTCCACATCCTGTATTTACAGCGGTGCGGTTATTTCAGGAAGTATAGCGGCTATATTTGGCGGTGAAATTGGTATGGTCGGTGAACGGTACCCGGCCGATTATTCCAAATTTTACCGTGACACTTGTTAAGAGGTATTACGACGACTCAAAAAGTCGAAGCCAAATCAATAATAGCTCAGATTTATTAGCTTGAAAAGAAAATAGTATCCACCTGGTTATTTTTTTATGTAACTACTTTATAATAATTGAAAAAAAATCTAATAGTGTTATCATTATGATAAGACAAGTTAAGACAAAGTATGACATGCTTAATATAACTTATTCTAATAAGAATAATTAGGTAAGAATTTACGTTTTCTGTTAACGTAAATAAATGATAATTCTGCAGTAATAAATACAAATCTTTATTTTTTTTAATGGCATAAGCCGGTATACGACCTGACGGATCGCCTGATGGTAAGCAATCGGCGTCACCCATGAACACCTGGAACACCGTTACAAGTGCGTTACCGGCCTTTTGGGGATTAGGAGTTTGAGGATCGTCGGGGATTTAGGAATTGGGGAGATTAGGGAAGGGGAGGGTAATTGGGCCCCCGGTAACCTCACTCACACGACGAAACACGACGCAAGCGTTGCTTCACGTCGGTTTTCTATAAGGACGTGGTATCACTCTGGTCGAGCAGGCCCATTCGTGCCGAACCATGGCTCTCCCACACTTTATTCATATTAAATTGGCCAATGTTCATAAAACTATTAACTGGAAAATACTTTTAGTGATATAATTGTCTTACTGCATAATTAAAATTATAGTTATTTATGGACTGAATGAAATACCTAGTCCTTTTGAAAATAAATTTATACTTCGTACAGGGAAAAGGTAAAAAGAATTTACAGAAGCTAGGTATAAATGTAAACCTATAATAGGGATCTAGTAATTATTTAAGTATTATTTAATTTTATTTACTACCTACCACTTACGTAACTAATAATAATTTAATTCCCTGTTTTTCCTCTTATAGATAATTTCGTGTATTTTTTTGTGTATCAACAAATTACATAAAGACTCACCAAAACTTCATGGTGTGTCCGATTGCCCCTGTGCACCCACTGCACGTTTGGCAGTGGTACTGCGTCTAGACTGCCACAGGGCACCGTCACGTTTGTACCCTTATCTGCAGCTACATCCCTGATCTCCACCTCCTCAGACAAAGCCAAGGGAAAAGCTAAAAAAATATGCAAATTTTTTTCTTCAAAAAATATTTTTCTTGTCTAAAAAAATATATTTATACGTTTTTTTTTCAATGAAACTAATAGTGTAATTTTTCTAGAAGCCGGTTTTTATGAAAATCTAATTTATTTACCTTCTATTCCAAGGCAGAACACAGACAACAATATACGCTCGAAAAACATTCTAATAAAACTACATTTAGACACTTAGAAAAAAAATTCTGAGCTATACTGTGTAAAGTAAAAAAAGATTTATTTCCTATCTATTTATTTTGATCACACAGAATTAATTAAACGACGGAAGGCGAAATAATAGGAAACAAATCTCACAACAAACGTCTTCACTCCATTGATAAAAGTCATAGACTAATATAATTTTATCGTAAACTAAGTTGCTATATTTTATCATTTTTCGCGATACAGTATTGCTATAGAACAAAATTAAATGTCATCTTGGACATAAAGGTCAGTATACAACTAAGTGTAACATCAATAAACTAAGTTTTAGTTTATTTAGAATTTGAACTTATTTATTAACTTAATTTTTAGGTTTTATTTACAATCATGATTTGAAAATCATGATTTTACAATCATGATTTTCATTTATATAGCGCCACTACTTGTGAAATCGCTTGGAATTGTTACCATGTTAGCACAATTTTCAAAAATGTGTGCTACGCCTAATAATCATAGACTAATAAACCATATTCTTCATGAAAAATTAAAAGTTCATTTTCTTTCAGCTATTAAATTTATGCTAAATAATATTTTTGTTAATGAAAAGAAGAATTTAGTTCTCTATATTTTGTTTTATATTGTCTTCCATCCATTCGTAAAATTTTGTTCGAAATGACATTTCAGTTTTTTGACAACTGTCAAATGTCCAGTTGCTTTTGGGTACAATGCATGGTCATAGACTAAAATATAGATTTTCTTCGGATATGGCCGCTGTATCGGCAATACGACATCTGCAATGTTTTGTAAATTCATTTTTATAAAATGAATAAGGTGTTTTTTACTTATGTATAGTGATTAGCGGACCGTGTACAGTGCTGTGATATTTGTAATGGATGCAGAGAACGAGTACGAAATAAAGAAAGTTCGTGATGCCATACAAACGATAGAGACTATCCAGTCCATGATCGACGTTTCAGCTGAAAGACTTGAGGGTTTGCGGACACAATGCTCGACGAGCGCAGAGCTGACGCAGCAGGAGATCCGGACCCTGGAGGTAGGTAGCTAACCTTCACAGCTCATTGTAGGTACAGGGGAAATAAGCAATGCCCTTGAAAGTATTATACCGAGAGGCCGGGCCTCAAGGACTTAGCTGCACTCAAGGACTGGGGTGAATAGTTCATTGCCGTTGTGGAAATCGTTGCCGTACGCGCGCGCCGCTCCCTCTCACCTTGAATGTTTACCTTTTTTAATTTCACGCGATAAAAAGTTGTAACATACATTTTATTGGTATTTGTGTTCTGTGTGCGAAAATGAGGTTGTGAAATCTATTTTATCATGATATTAGAATATAACATTCCTGAATGTACAGAGTATTGCTTGTGTTGAAGTAAATACAAGGGTTGAAAGGTATACTCTGAACATTTTATGAGATAATCCATAAATTACATGGTGTAGTTAAGTTGTTATCAATGTGTTTAGTCAATATACAAAAATTTACAAGTGAATATTGATCCACTAGTTTCCAATGAGACAAATTAGACTACATCTGAAGAACATGAAATTCTTTATTATTTTCAGTACACATATTACAAAAAACATTTAAATATTCTGTTGCACTAAGACTATTTAAAAGCTCAAGTTTAGTAATATCAAAATAAATTTTATTAAAATTCAGAAACTCAAAAACATTTATATTTTCATAGGTATTTCTAATCTTGTGTTGGTTGCTTGAGTCATCTTTGTGTTTCATTGTATTCATATAATATCAAAACACTTTATATTTCCTTAATGTCTTGAACACAAACTAGTAGCATGGAGTACTACCTAGTTTGATGACCCCAACATTAAGATACAATACTATGAATCCCTATTAACTTTTCTGTAATTCCCTCTTCACAGGAATTTGACCAAAATAGTAAATTTGAAATTACCTAATTTCTAATTGGATACTGGTTAGAATAAAATTGTAAATACACATAATATTTAATAAACATAATTAAGCTTATCAATTCTTACATTGCATTTTAAACATAGAATTATAAAATTCAGCTAAGTAATTAATTTAGATGTGATCCAAAATATGACACATAATAAAGCCATACTTAAGTACAAAATGTTCCAATGAGCTGTCCCAATGTGTCACCCTGCCATAACATTTATCAACAATGGCTGACTGTTTGATGAAGTGATTCAATGCTAATGCAGATATGCTTCATCACACTTCACTTATTGGAGTTCGTAATAAATAATATATTGTCCTACTATTGCGTTTTTAATGTTACCTTAAAAAGTGCTTGGTGTAGTGTTCAAAGATTCTTGATTTGTTGTATGCTATAATTTTAATGAGTCCGAATCAGTAACCTGTGTCACAATGTTAAGTACTGATTCGGAGTCGTTAATCATGACCACTCTGTCGAGACTGATATGACTGAGAAGAAGAAAATAATTATGATCCATATTAAAGAAATAACATTAGGACTTATTGAAAGAGGTCTATGCCCAGAAGTGGATGTCACTTGGCTGGTATGATAGTGATAAAATGACCAAAGTAAGACACACTCAACTACACCATCTCCAAGTCATCCTGTTGTTAATTAAAAACATATGTGTCTAACATTCCCAATTCTCTATAAAAAAATGTGCAATGTAAGAAATCTAAAATCCTGTTGGTAGTTTTGATTTCTAACTGTTTCATAATAATTAAAGAGATTGTAATATTTTTTTTATAAAAGAGTAACACATGAAGTTTCTTGCTTGTTCTTCTCCATTCGAATCTACATTTTGGAACTAGCGCCTCATACTGACAGATTATTATATTTATTTATTTTGTATTTGTTGACATTCTAAAGTACCAAAAAATACTTTGACTTTGAACTAATTAGTTTCTGTTAAATAAATAAAAAATAAATAATTGTGTGTGTGTGTGTGTGTGTGGTAAAGGAAATGAAACAAAACGAAGTACAAATATGCAAAAATGTTTTTACCTTAATATTTCATGGAAAGGGATGATAATTATTACTACTGGATTATATCTAGGTAATTAATCATTTCTCAGTATAATGAAACACATTATCAGACAGAACAGGTGTAATGAACTCTGTCTTGAAGTAGTGGAGTGGAACACAATAGGTACCTAATCAACATCTTCCTTCCGGCACCCAAACCATGCAGTAATTTAGTCAAGGTCACGAAAACTAGGTACTGACTTCCTTAATAGATTTAATTACAATCTATCTATATTTGTTAGGTACTATAGTAATTAAACTGTCAAACACCAAGCGGTCACCGGTGACCGCGACCTATTGTTCTTTAATTGTGTCTATAAAACCGGTACTCGACGAGTTAATTGCACTGGTTTTAAATTCATTTTAAGATTTTTATAAGAAACATGACAGTACTTTTTGCTGGACTATCAGGAATGACAAGTACATCGCCTCGACAATGACGTCTCGACGCCAAGGACCCTTAGTTGCTAAAATAAATACGTAAATTGCCAGTTACATGTAGGTACTACGTGCAAATGCTTGACAATAGTAAAAAATGACAGATTGTATCAAGAAGTCTAATGGAAAGTACTATCAATAGAGACAGATTAACTCGTCGAGTACCGGTTTTATAGACACAATTAAAGAACAATAGGTCGCGGTCACCGGTGACCGCTTGGTGTTTGACAGTTTAAATCTGATTAAATCTAGAGAGTGCCCTAGGTTTAATAAGACAATCCCTAAGCACCTCATAGGCAACCCTAATTTCTTGAACTGTTGGGTATGTTTGTATTGGTCCCCTTCTGTTACCTGGCAGTTGGCATCCTAGGTATCTGCGTAGTTTACGTTAGAGATAATATGGCTCTGACCATCAGACTCTATGTCCGGTTCTCTAGTTAAGGGCAGGCTGTAATTTTCTAGTAAGGATTTTTTCTTAAAAAGGAGTTTGCAGTTACATTGTTGTGAAATTATAGTCAGAAAGATGTTGTGCAAGTGTGTTCCAATTACAACATACCTTTTTCATTTTACCTCACCAAAGTTTTCCTGTTCTGTCCTGTAGCTCACAGGAATGCTAATTATAAATTACTTACTAATATTAATATGTATTTACTTATTCCTTATTATGTGTATTATAATTTATATTATTGAAATTAAAGAGAATACACATAAAAAGAGAATCCATAATCTTTATCCTTAAACAAAGTATCCATACAGTTCCTGATAAACCAATTTATTACCAAATGGGTTTCCATGTGGTTTTTACCAAGGGATAGGTATTTATGAGGAAGGATAAATGTAGACTAATTTTATTAAGATTTCATGTTTGTATATTGTCCAGGCCGGCTGTAATGAGCAATAAATTAATACAATCAGGAAAATTTAAAATTAAACAAAACAAGTGTTTGTCTGCTCATATTGTTGACAATGTTTACAAACAATTTCATTGTTGATAATTTTTTGTTTTTAAACAATTAGTATTTTATTAAACAGTTGTATGATAGTGATCTGGTTTTATTGGTATGCAGTATTTTGATTTGTCAACAATGAGAATTATTCTGTTGATAAGGAATTGCACTTGTTTATTTGCACTCAAATTGTAATGGATCCATTGAAGCCTGCACTCATAAAAAGTATAACTAGATATTTGTTTCGTAAATCGTCTTTTAAAAGAGATAATTATACACGGTGACTTAGTGGTATAAGAAATGGCGTATTTCCAGGATAGTATTGAGCTTCCTCATCTTCATCATTATATCAGCCACAAGATATCCACTGCTAAACGCACGCCTCCCCCAATAAAGTGGTTAAATTCCTTCATTGAGTTTTGGGACAACCTTTATAAAGTCTAGTTTAGAGTGCAGAACTTAAGACTAATTATTCGACTAGCGAACATTTTTTTTTTAAGGGGGGAAAGTCATCGAATGACTGCTCCCGCCTGGGTGAGGCGGAAGGGAGTGTCAGACTCTTACTGCCTAAAAACCACCCCGTTCCTTCTCCTGCACGTCGAGCCGGAGCCCCGGTTACCCGTTAGGCTCTCCGCGACACTAGCGAACATTTGGAAAGTTAAAAATGTAAATAATAATAGCTTGACAAAACTAAGCGTAGTCAGAATCAATACCCATCGTAATTCTCTAACGAATAATTCGAGACTGTTTCGTAATCGGCTAGGTAATTTCAGTATCTTGCCCTCCACGACTGAATATGACGATGATATGACATTCTTTGGTTAAACTCTCCACAGATATCAGATAACGATTGTACGGAATCATGCCTACATACTTATGAGCAAAACCTACGCATGACGTGGATATTTGCAACAGACAAGTGATTAACTGATTACACATTTGCAAAAAAAAAACAATTGATTTCAAAAAGAAAGACCCTACACCATGTTAAAAAAGAACATATCGGAAAAAAGTGTGATTGGGTGGTTTGCATTTCAAGTGACTACAATTATGTCCGGTAGTTATTTTAGCTACAGTTGTTTAACTCGTTGAGTACCGTCATTATAGACACAATTAAAGAACAATAGGTTGCGGTCACCGGTGTCCTCACTGTGTTTGACAGTTTAATTGAAAGTGTATTACCCACGTTTCGTCGTAAATTGATTTTTACAACGATATTCATAGATTTATATAATCCTTTATTAGTTTACTAGTGTTTCACTTTACTGATCTTTAGATTCAGAACAACAATTGTAGGGAGAATCGAAACGGTGACACAGCGCAGCCCTTTTTTTTAAGTGGGGATTATCATCGAATGACTGCTCCCACCTGGGTGAGGCGGGAGGGAGTGTCAGACTCTTACTGACTAAAAACTACCCCGTTCCTTCTCCTGCACGTCGAGCCGGAGCCCCGGTTACCCGTTAGGTTCTCAGCCCTTTATCTAGCGAGCCACTGCGTCAACAGTGCAGTCAAATTACAACATAGGCTACTGGACTAGACTTACTCGCCTAGTTCCCCCGAATAAATAGCATAGTGATAAAAATAATTGTTTCTGTTGTCCATTTATAAAATTATAACATTTCAAGTGTGTGTCAGTAATTTATGTAGTTATATGAAAGTTATTGCGCCACGGTCCACTGATTATATTACGCGGCGCGTGTTTACTATTCGCAGATTACTTACAATTTCTCCCTATAAAATGTTACTAGTTTTCTTTTTTTCGCTGAAAGTAAATCATTATGATTGTATGTTATGTCAATCTTAGTTGGTCATGCTTTATTCAAAATTGTTCTCTGATATTCTATGACACCTAGGCCGTCCTTACACAATGCCATCTCTGTAAAGCCCGCCTTAACTACAAACATACGGAAATAAGTAAGTAAGGCAAGACACTAAATAGTAAAATCATAAATCCTTGTCTTCTCTTCCAGGGCAAGCTGGTGAAACACTTCTCCCGACAGCTGGTGATCAAGGCCAGCTTCGGTGAGGAGTTGCGGCGTAAGCTCGGCGATGTGCCGCGACTTGCGCAATGGCTCAGGGTCGTGGGCTTGAGCCCCGATTCTATTACGGTACGTATTCATAGTTGTTTTATTTAGCATAGCATAGCATCACGCCTTTTATCCCCGAAAGGGTAGGCAGAGGTGCACATTACGGCATTTAATGCCACTGTACAATGTAACACCCACATTTCACTATTTTATGTTATGAGTCCCATGTAATAGGGGGTGACCCTATTGCCATATACCGGGCACAATTCCAGACTCCGTGCTACTACTGAGATTTTTTGAATAAGCCCAGTAGTACTTTGCCCGACCCGGGAATCGAACCCGAGACCCCTTATTTTTTTGTTGTTTTTTATCATAATTAATTCTGAAAGAAATGTACAATTCCAATAAAGTAAGGTATTAAGTATGCAAACATGTTCTTGTTCCTTTGTGAGAGACTAGGGTCCACCCTGGGGTCTAAGTTTTTGTCGCTCCTGTCACGTAAAATGAGATGGACTGCAGTGAAGCTACATGCAAGTGGTCTTTAAACTATATATTCAAGGAAAACATCTTCACATTCGCAACTCATGATGATTACAAGAGGAAGTTAATATTTTGTTAACTGTTTTATAACTAACAAATTACGTACAGTTGAGGAAACAACACAATAACAGTTATATTTTGACTCACTTGTTACGTTGCGTCAACAACAATAGTAGTGTACTATCGTGAAATATTTAATTTGACGTGATAAGATAAACGAACGGATGCGACTTCTGCAGAAGAAAGTCAGATATTTGTAAAGGAAGTGACGTGCGATTATAAAAAAGTATTAGTCACTTCCGTTCTGTGTCGTTTACCTGGCTTATGGTTCCATTCATAGCCTTTACATATTTTGAATGGGAGAAATGAGAAGTAACTTAATACCTTTAAAAAATAATGTTACCTATCTTGTTACACCTTCGGTGTTACGGATGTCGAGGAGTTTTGAACTGGATCGTGACGTGTTCGTACGTTAATACGAATTCGAGTATGACTTGAAATGCTCCAATGGTTCATGCGAGTACCTAAGCTGGAAGGCAAAGGAGCAGTCGGATCGGATGCTAAGCAATCGACATCGTCCATGGACACTCGCATTGAATATTTGGGGAAATAAGCAATAATTACTTTGTTATGAATAGTGACGTTAATGTTGCAGGCGGTATGTTCCCGCGTGGCGTCGTTGGAGACGCTGCGGGAACGCTCCGACCACGAGATGCGCGCGCTGCTGGCCGGCGCGCGCGACGAGGAGGTGCTGCGACTCTGTCGCGCCATGCAGCGGCTCAGGACTTATATAGGTAGGTTTGTTAACTTTGTTTTCTGAACATTGTATAATGCACTTTTAACATTTGGAACACCATTGAAAATGGATTAGGTAGATACTGCAAATACAAATATAAATCGACACAAAACACTTAGATTTAGACCATATTTTCACGCTGACATGACACCAAGATCTCAAAATATTAGAGTCCAATGAGAAGATTTCTGTTCTCTCCTATTGGGGTGTTAGTGTGGACTATTATGTGGAATTAATGGTTGTCTAATAAGACGACCATTAACTTCCTTTAAACTCTGGATATCGTCCATTCTAGTAGCTAGAAGTGTCATAACTGGGTACTTAAATGTTAATACTTTGTGTTTGCGAGCACAGAGGCACTAGGGCGCGGCGAGGGCGGCGCGGAGCTGCAGTTGTTCTGGGACTCGTGGGAGCGCACCGTGCGCGCCTCGCCGCGGGCGCCGCGCGCGCGACACGCCAACGCGGACCATCACGGCACGCCGCACAACAAGAAAGGTACGACATGTTACAATCTTCATTATATCAGCCACAACAATACTCAGTTTACTAAAAATAGGCTTCCCCTAGTGACTCCCAGAATGGTTGATTGGAAGCTACCGGAATCCAGCTTCTTCCTTTAGGTAGAACTTAAAAAGAGCAACCCTAACTTAACTGATGTTCTTTCCAGGTGGCAAATCTCCCCCCACTCCTGTAGCGAAGCGAAAACAACCGAGCACTCTGCCCCCTCCCGCGGCACTCACCAAGTCGAGGTCACATGAGTCACAACTATCTGTCAGACCAGACGCTTCAGACCTTAGGTAAGTACTGCTATTATCTTGGCACTTCTTACTTGTGTAAAACATAGTGCCTTCAGCTCTACAGATAATGAACCGTTTTATACAGATATTGCGAGAATAATGACTACAAACTAAATAAGAACAAAATTGTCATTTAGCATTAACAACTGCTTCAGTAGTGTATGAAACTACCTACAGCTATTCCAATATGTTTATCTTTTGAAGATCTTCAGCTTTGTTTAATGTGCAGTAAAGTTTAAGATTGGTTAAGAAAGTTGTGTTCGCGCAAGTACTTACAATAACTTATCTTTACAGTGACAACAGTCAGTCCTCAGCGGTGGGTACGTCAGAAGTGACGCCCCCCGCCTCCCCGCACGACACCGAGTCCGAGCACACGCCGCTCCACCGCCCTCTACCGTACCACAACAACAACGTAAATATCAAAATACTATATCACATACCATGTACCTTGCTACACTGCAAGCTTCAGCTTCGCTCACTACGCCGCCATATTAACCTTCGACCTAAACACTCATAAACCCGCTTCTTACTAGGCGTAGTTTGAACACATGCCTTTTGAGATACAGGTTGGAATTCGAGTACGAGTATTTGAGACAAAATTGTTTAATCTGTGGCGAGGCTTTGTAGAATGTTTTGATTTTGGTTAGGTATAATACGAATTTATTTAGCTAGCAAATGAGGCGTTGAGTTTAAAGTTTGTATTTCTAGTGGAGTTTAGAAGTAGGTTAGAGTTAGTATCGGCGCCATGGTTGTGGGTTTGGAGTGGTGCAGGTAAGCCTTGTACAGGTGCGGTCGCCCGCGAAGGGTGCGCTGGGGCGGCGCCTGGCCACCATCATGGCGTGCGCCTGCGCCCCCGAGCGGCCGCGCGCGCCCCCCCGCCCCCCGCGCCCCCGTCCGCGCCGCGCACCCCGCACCACGACCCGGTGTGTATGCCCCCCCCTGTCCGTGCCTGGTTGCCCCCCTGTACACGTGTCCGAGCGTGCCGCACCCTGTCCGTAGTGTAAAGCTGACACGATGTTGTGAGTATCTCTGCATGGTAGACCACGTCGCTGACCTACGTGACTCTTCAGTTTCTGTAAGATTCTATACTTGTATGCATGTCCTTTAGTTATGGTGTCAATAGACAATTTTTATTACAAGGTGGTTGAATATCTCTTTGTATAAAGTTCTCTTCTAGGTGTTCGTAAAACTTAATATACTTTTCAACGGTATTGATTCAAATCTCTATATTTGTGGCATGCATTTCGTATCTATCTTGAATGTAGGAAAGTATCGATGTTTTTATTTGCTATATTGTCTCTTTCTAATAATAATAATAATAATAAGCCCGCAGGGCACCTTGAGGCGAGGTGACGGGCATTAGCGATCCCGCGGGCTACCATCATCCCGAGTGCTCCAGGGAGAAGTCACCGTTCCTTCTTCTCCGGCTTGCCTTAATTGGCTGGCTGGAGTGAACGATGACAAGGAACAGGTCTCCCACCTCTGGCTTGCCTTCATTGGCCGTCCAGAGTGGAGTCGCGAGAGCAGTGATCCTGCTCGGAGGGTAAGAAACTATTCGTAAGTCGCGAGTGGGCCAGGGATGCAGGAAGCTTCGGCTGGAGCAGATGATCTGAGTAGAAAGCGGTGATAGTTTCTTAACCCTTCAGCCACTCACATTCTCGTTGCCCCTCTGTTGCTATATCTAGCAGCCATTCCCGGGGCCCGGTCGGTGAGTTGGCGAGTCTCCGCCTGCCATTTTTACGTGTAATAATTACATTGTTTCGGCAGGTGCCATAGTCATCCATAGTTCCCAATTTTCCAGTCCACAGCAACCCATCCATAGCCCTATCTTTTTTTTCCATTATCCTCAATAGTTTTACACTAACCGGAGACTGTCCTTGGGTGCATTTCCATAGTGCATACAGGGATAGTCGCCGGTTTGTGTGTCCATTACATTTATATTAAAGTTGTCTAAAGGGCCTCTGCGCAGTTGGCTTCAGCCCCTCGTATGCCTCCCAAATGACCGGGACCCTGTGGTCCCGTGAATGGTAAAGACATACAATAATAATAATAATAATAATTTTTATTTAGTAAAACATGAGTAATTACAATGAAGGTGTTTTTTTGGTTAGTATAGAGTCTACATGTTTTGCCATTGATGGCGTACTAAATCATTACTTTAGGCAGATAATACCAATCTACAATCAATAATTATACAAAATCAAATGTCAAAGTTTGAATGAAAAAAAAAATTTATAATGTAAATGAATAAAAATAATAATTTAAAAATCACAAGTCAAACAGTTTAAATTATGTCAATTGGTGAACAAAATATGTCAAAATTATAAACAAGATGTCATTATTATAAATATTATAGATAACAAGATAATAAACAATATGTCCACATTCAGGCTAAATTAAATTATACTTACAAAAAAAGTAGATAATAATTATAAAGAAAAACAAATAAATTGAAACTCACAATCAATGCAAAGTATCATTTATAAATTCATCTACGCTGTAGTAACATTTTTCAAGTAATAGCATCTGAAGAGATTGTTTAAATTTATGTATCGGCAAACATTTAATGGCATCTGGTATTTTATTGAAAATAATTGGTGCAATACCAAGGACACTCTTTTTTAGTAGGGCAGTTTTACATTTATATGTACATAATAAATTTTCGTATTGTGCACGAATAGGGGTCCTCTTAACAGTTGAGAATTTTTGAAACAAATGTTGATTTGTTTTAACAAATATCGCCACCTCTAATATGTACATACATGGCAAAGAAAGTATTTTAAACTTTTTAAAGTATGGAATGCAGCTATCCGTCTGTCTCAGACCGCACATAGACCGAATGCACCTCTTTTGCCTTCTGAATATAAGTTCCCTATCAATCGAATGCCCCCAAAAAATAATACCGTATCTTATAATAGAGGCGACCAATCCATGATAGGCCGTAAGAAGTGTATTAGTATCAACTTTCTTGGCTAATTGGAATAAAAGATATGCAGACTTACTGAGACGCGTGCATATTTCATTTAAGTGAGGTCTCCAAGTTAATTTATTATCTATGGTAATGCCTAAGAATTTCGCACTTGTAACTTCCTCCACTATACAGTTATTATAAGTTACATTAAACGGTAAGTGTTTACGACGTTGGTGGAAATGTACAACTTTTGTTTTATTTAAATTAATTATAAGATTATTAATGTCAAGCCAATTTATAATGTCATTCAATGAATTATTTATGTCATTTTGATAATTATTATAATTATTACATTCCACAATAACAGTGCTGTCATCTGCAAACAACACCATTTTGTGATCTATAGTTTTGGGGAGATCATTAATATAAATTAAGAAAAGTAGTGGCCCCAGGACGCTGCCTTGTGGTACACCATATCTTGTAAACCTTGGTTTAGATAAATATTTTTTCTCTAATTTAGTAGCAGGGCATATTCTGGTGATTTCTGTACATTGAGATCGGTTACTCAGATACGATTCTATGAGTTTCAGAATATTACCTCTCACTCCATACCCCTGTAATTTTTGCAGCAGAATTTTATGATTAACAAAATCAAACGCTTTTGTCATATCAGTCAATATAGCACAAACAGGATTTCGTTTATCTATGGATGCCATTACGTTAGAGATGAAGTCGAACAAGGCCATATTAATATTTGTATTTTTTCTAAATCCTTTCTGTTCATTGCAGAAAAGATTGAATTTTTCAAAATATGAATATATAGAATTATAAACTACCTTCTCAATAATTTTAGAAAATACAGATATCTTTGCAATAGGCCTATAGTTTTGAAGGCAAGTTTTGTAATTTTTTTTATAAAGGGGTTTAATAATAACTTTCTCTATTTTAAGTTGTCAGTAGTGAGTGGCATTGCGTTTCTATCTGCTTAGTTCAATCGTCAACTAAGTTGTAACATTAACGCAATTCGTGCGTACATTTTTACAAGACTTTTTTCACCTGGGTATAAAATAGTATAATTCAACTTGAAGCGATTAATATCCCTACATTTACAAATATTAAGTATTCTTATATGTTGATAAAACATTAAACTGCTTTGAATAATAAGTTTCAGTAATTAATATCTTATTAGTTTCTACCACCTGGCGAGTTCATACTCGGACGGACGGATTTCTTATAAGATTGTTTTTATTACCCATCTGTTCGTGGGTTTGTCATGACATTAGTACTACAAAACCTTATACCCTATTGCAAATAGCATTAACACATTCAAACTAGACAAGCTAGAGAGGATATCTTTGGTCATTAACCTCTCAGTCAGAACCAAATGCACCACCCAAGTGTATCTTTAGCGCAGGACTTGCCTTTAATAGTACTTTGTCTTTATCTGTCGGACAAAGACTAACAAACAAAGTCAAGCTTGGACATTTCTTAGTCTATTATTGAAAAATGTAAAATCTTCTTAAATTGATGTAAAAAATCATCAACACGTTATAAATGCCCACTGCTGAGCAAAGCCTCTTCTCGCACGGAGAAGATTTGAGCATTAATCACCACTCTTGCTCAATGCGGGTTGGCGATTACAAACTTTAATTAGAAATTATAACTCCAGGTTTCTTCACGACTTTTTTCTTCACCGATTGTCAGTGATGTCTAAATAATCTTAGAAAGTACATATAACTCGGAAAAAGTCACATTGGTAATTGCCGTTGATAAGTTTAGAACCCGCAGTCTCATGTATGAGAAGCGGGCGTCTTATACCTCCGGGCCAGCACGACATGGCACGGATGTAAAAAATACTTTTGATAAACTGAATACTAAAGCGTGGAGTGTATACAGACGGGGGCGGGCGTGGCGCCACGCTCCCCGCGCACGCCGACCGTGAGCCGCTGCATGGCGCACGACATCGCGCACCGGTTCACCAAGACCATGCTCATTGCCACCTGCGACTACTGCGACAAACAGATGTTCGGCTCCGCGCTCAAGTGCAAGGAGTGCAAGTTCAAGTGTCACAGGTTTGTTCTACTTTACTAATGTTAATATTGCCTAATATTGCTTGTATTGTTCTGAATAGATGAGTATGGACTGCCTCGTTGGACGAGTGGTCGCAAGTGCGATTGCCGGGCAAGGGGTCTCGGGTTCGATTCCTGGGTCGGGCAAAGTATTACTGGATTTTTAAAAATCTCAGTAGTAGCACGGAGTCTGGAAATGTACCCGGTACATGGCAATAGGCTCACCCTCTATTACATGGGACTCATAACATAAATAGTGAAAAATGGGTGTTACATTGTACAGTGGCATTAAGTGCCGTAATGTGCACCTCTGTCTAGCCCTTCGGGGATAAAAAGCCATGATGTTATAAAAAAAAACAAAAAAGGACAAGTATGGAGTGGGGTGTAAGTTTTAAAATGATACATGTCAAGGAAAGGAATTAAAGGTCTTTAGTTACCAATAAACAACACCAATTGTGGTTTTTCCAATAGTTAAGGGTTCCAATGGTTAAAGGCTGATTTTTCCAACGCCTGATAAATATTAACTGAGGAAGAACTTTGAATATTTGACCGTTTTTCCATACTAAAAACTGTCAAATATCAATTTTATTCTATAATTAAGCATTAACTGATAATTGAAAAATCAGCCCTAAGAAATCTAAGGAATCTGACATTATGTTTCCACGATCTTTTCGTTGATTGTAATCATAGTGTCAGTATTGTACTATTACTTCATTACCTTGTAATTTTCAGAATAATAATATTAATGACCAGAGTCTAAACAATAGCATTTAATTTACAGAGACTGCGAAAGTAAAGTACCTCCGTCATGCGGCCTACCACCTGAATTTGTGGACGTTTTCAAAGAAAAGTTTCACAAAGATGGTGAGTTAAAGAATTTTAATTTAAATTATTCTTAAATGTAGCGTTATCTTGATGATTTTATAAGCATTTAAAAACATAATAATTAATTATGATATTAATTTAGCGTCTGTAGTTGAACACTTTATTATTAACTGCCTCATTGGCCAAGTGGTCGCAAGTGCGACTGCCGGGCATGGGGTCTCGGGTTCGATTCCCAAGTCAGGCAAAGTATAACTGGATTTTTCAAAAAAATTCAGTAGTGGGACGGAGTCTGGAAATGTGCCCGGTATATGGCAATAGGCTCACCCCCTATTACATGTGAGTCATAACATAAATAGTGAAATGTGGGTATTCATTGTATAGCGGTATTAAGTGGTGACATGCGATGTTATGTTATGACATAGTGTAACCGTACCGTACCGTCGGGTCCGTCCGCAGGTGGGTACTACGGGTACGTGTCGGGGCGCGGCGCGGGCATCCTGTCCTCGCTCACGCACCGCCGCCGGCCGCCGCCCGCCTCGCACCACGCCGTAACTACTGCTTCTTAATTACTATACATACTATATATAATATATATTTTTTTTATGAAATAAGTCGGTAAACCAGCAGACGGATCTCCTGATAGTAAGCAATCGGCGCCGCCGATGGACACCTGGAACACCAGAGGCGTTACAAGTGCCTTACTGGCCTTTTGGGGATTAGAAGTTTGGGGATTGTTGGGAATTCAGGGATTGGGGGGGGGGGGGGATTAGGCTTCCGGTAACCTCACTCACACGACGTGAACCAACGCAAGCGTTATTTTTTCTGCTCGACCCAAGTATCACTCCGGTCGACCCGGCCCGTTCGTGCCGAAGTATAGCTGTCTCACATTTGGGCATTAACTGTAGATATCAAATCTCTAATATAATGGTTTTCTGTAAAATGAGATTGAGTTTTATTCATATTGCTACGAATGCTACGTAACATCTATTTCATAACTTTTGCTATTAAATTAGCACTGTACTTTATATATAAATTGTATTAGTTTACTATTAAATGTTTGATAACTAGTCTTACTACAGAAATTAATAACTGATTATAACCTAAAATATCTGAATCGATCTAAGTTTCTAACAAAAACTTAATGTAATGAATCTCAAAAATCAATTAGCTACTTTTTACCTTATTTCAGCCGTTAGACATTTTTTAAGTAAATTATTTGTATGTCACAGGGTGGTCCAGACTCGTCGTCGAACACGTCGTCGTGCAACAGTTCGACCCCGTCGTCCCCGGCGCTGGCCCCGCCCCTGACCCCGCACCACCCCCACCACCACCCGCACCATCCCCACCACCCCCACCACCCACACCATCCGCACCATCCGCCCACCACTAAACAACAGTTTCATTTCCCAGGTAAGTAAAAAATTCTTGTTAGTATACAGGATAGACTTATTTTTTATTAGCACCTGGGGAATATTTGTGGAAATACCTACACAAAAATTATGAATTTATAATTTTACACGCGACTTCGTACGCGCAATCCTGTGTCCTCCTGTTCCCGTACGATTTTCACGAGTGTTTCTGTTTTAAGAACCTTCTCCAAATACAACAAAAAAAAAGAATTAGTGAAATCATTCCAGCCATTCACTGGTGATGCCGTGACCAAGAGAAAAAAAAAGGATTCAATTTTATATATCTAGATAAGCCCCTGGTATGGCTTGAAACTAATCGGTGGTTACCTTGTCGAAAAGTTAACATAACATAATTAATTCAAAATGTTTCATATTGTTATAGGTAATTTTATTTCAGTATTATAACATTAATTTTTATTTTATATCGACAGAACTAAAGCCAGTGGTATCTAGTCCTAACCACGTGTCGGTGCAGTCGCCGTCGAGACAACAAGACAACAAGGAAGACCTCACTACTAGCGTGCAAAGTGGTAAGATCTTACATACGAAATTCAATATTAATATGTTGTATCTAGAGTTCAAATTGAATTCTTTGACTTTTCTTTGTCGTACGCGTTATAATAAAAAGTATTTCAAGCAAGTAAAGCATTAACTAAAAATTGCGGGTTACTAACGTGAAAATACTGAGAAAAGCTCTACTAGTGCGCGGTCGTGGCGATAGCCTACTATCGTAGCGCAGGCTGCGCGACATCGCCGCGGCCGCGCACGCTGTCCATGAGGTTTTCTCATTATTGTCACGTGTGTAACCCGCGATTTTAGTTAATTTTAGTAGGTCCCACGATAGGTATTATAAGAAGTAAAGCATTTATTTTTTGTTTTCTGAAAAGAAAATCAAATTGATCAGAAAATGTTTAATGAAATTGGCATTAGTTTTTAATAAGAATTTAGTTATTTGATATGACTACCCCCTGCTTTATTCCAATGCTTACAATAGTGTATGTCCCCCCCCCCAGGCGACAGTTCCCGCTGCGTGTCCCTGTCGGGCTCGACGGACAGCGGCGGCTGCCCGCGCGGGGACTCCTTCGACCTGTCGCACAAACACGGAGACTCGCGCTGGCCGCGGCAGAATAGTGTAAGTACTATTCACACTACTTTAACAAAATATTCCCGCCAATGTGATTAGCACCTAATCTGGTGGTCTATGACCGGTCTAGGGGATTTACTGCGGTTCTCGAATACGAAGTTTCGTTTGATTTGCAGAACTAAATGAACGAATGAAATGAAGATAAATAAATAGGTTTAATCTTGAAATTAAATATATAAAGTTATTTTAAGTAATACCAATAAATTCATTAAACCATGGCTTAGTACACACATTAGCTAAGAAAATCATGAACACGCTTTTAAAATTTAGGAATAGATTAAAAATCCTAAACGTGTTAAGAACCTCCTTTGAAAGATTTACATCTCATACTAATTTCTGGCTTTGTGGTAGGAAATCTGCGAAGTATCAGTCCAAACTTCGTTTTTCATCGAATCAGAGTACAGATCACTTATTACTGTTGTCTTACAAAAGTTGTTCTTAATTAAGTAAAAACGCGGGTTACTCACGTGAATATACTGAGAAAAGCTCTACGCTTGAGACAGCTTGAGACGCTGTTTCACGATATGCAATTTAGTATGTCTCACGATAGTTATTATAAAAACAAAGTTGTTCTTCTTTCTCTTGTCCCTGCGTTTTTACAAGATTGACCAGAATGCCAGGATTTTACGTGGAGAGATCGCCATCTGCTCTCCACGACCCGCTATGGGCTGTAGAAAAAGATAATAATATTAATAACATTGATTTATTTATTAAAAAGGTCCTGACAGTAGCAAATCGGTAGGTATTGTTACATCTGTGTACTGATAACACGGGAGTTGACTGCCGACTGGCCGGACTCGGCGATAACGAAGCAATTGAAATTATACATCATGTCTATTATTGTATCACAATTTATGTTACAAGCTCAAAGCTTTGATACAGTTATAAGCTTTTTTAACATTTTACATGGTTGTGTGATCTGTTATTTTAAAAGCAGTACCTTTGTGAAGTCCTTGACAGTATTCAACAGTTTTGTGATTAGTAAAAGTGTGTATAGTTTAAAATTATTGTCGGAAATGTCTATTTTTGTACGAAGACGCCGGTTGTTTGAGGAAGTGAGTGTTTGGTTATCGTTTTATTGACGACGTAACGGTAACTGATTATAAGAATAAAGGCAAGCTTATATAAAATCTGATAGTGACAGAATAAAGTAAGGCCTTTTTAACAATTTGAAGCAAATTATAGCTGCATCTGTCTGTTCACTTAAAACTACTGAACGCAGTTTTATCGATTTTCACCAAAGAGTGTTTCTTGAGTAAAGTTTGTCTATGAGAACCCGCGGTCGGAAATCAACTTTGACGATTGTAATTTTTTTTTTATGGTATAACCCTGTAAACGGGCAGACGGATAATCTGATGATAAGCAATCGGCGTCGCCCATGGACACCCGAAAAACCAGAGGCGTTACAAGTGCGTTACCGGCCTTTTGTGAATTATGAATTTGAGGGTTGTGGGGGATTCGGGGATTGGGGAGACTGGGGAAGGGGGTAATTGGGCCTCCGGTAACCTTACTCACACGACGAAACACAACGCAAGCGTAGTTTCACGTCTGTTTTCTGTGAGACCGTGGTATCATTCCGGTCGAGCCGGCGCATTCGTGCCGAAGCATGGCTCTCCCAAACTTATATTGTGTATCACACAAACTCAATAAAATATCTGCGCATTACAGTTATCAATGAAAGAGTGGGACATCCCGTACGACGAGCTGAAGCTGTTCGAAGTGATAGGCACGGGCCGCTTCGGTACTGTCTACCGCGGCAGTTGGCACGGAGCCGTCGCCGTCAAACTATTGCACGTGCTCAGCGACGACTGTGTACCACTGGATACTTTTAAACATGAGGTAAGTTAGACTATTGGAATATGACCTTGTCTTGTTTTATAGTTGTTACGTTCTGTCAGTATATAGATATAAAATTATAATTATGTTAGACCTACTCTCGCCTGTGACACAGGATTATCCTAGTACAGGCACCCAACCATGTGAGATCTATTTTATTTACCCAAGAAATATTTTTGTATCTGTGTCCATTTACATTTCTGAATAAAGATTATTATAGTATGGAGGTGAGGAAATAATGATTGGGTTAGTATAAAGTTACTGATATATAAAATAATGTGACTGATTTTGTCCTATTGATTTCAAAGTCGTACTTAATTGATGAAATATTACTTTTACGTATTTTTGTCATTATGACTTCATGATTTGGTGATGGCCAAATTGGTATTAATGGTTGAAAATGATCGTATGTTAGTTGACTAAACTAACTACACCTATACATTTTCTTTATGCAATTAATCTAATTATTAATTTAGCCAGTTAGAATGTAACGCAGTCATCTGGTCTCCGCATGAAGCTAAATATAGTCTCATGCTGGAGAGAATTCAAAATAAATTTATTAGATATTTATATTTGAGGTACTATGGGGTCTATCCGTTTTACCCATTGATGTATCCCACATTATTTATTTTAGGCATGGTGGGGTACAATGAGTTAAGGGTAAGACGGGATTTTGCACTCACCTCACATTTGTTTAAAATATTAAGAGGAAAGCTGCACAATGCAGTCATTTTAGGACAGCTGAGTCTATGTGTTCCGGATAGGTACGTATGGCGACGCCGGCGACCGCCACTACTGGCAGAACCCCGCGGTCGGACCAACCTATTAAGGGAAGCGCCGCTGACGCGTGCACTTCGCACGCTCAACCTGATTTCTAATGAAATTGACCTATTTTGTTGTACTCTGGGTGAATTCACAAGGAATGCATTATATGTAATATGCTATAGGTAGATATTAAGATGAGCACATTTATCGCATTGGGCATTAACCTGTAAAGATAAATGTAAGTGGAAATAAATAAATAAATAAATAAATCTGTGATCCAGGTGGCAACCTTCCGCAAAACTCGTCATGAGAACTTGGTCCTGTTCATGGGCGCGTGTATGAAGCCGCCGCGGCTGGCCATCGTGACGTCACTGTGTAAGGGCATGACTCTGTACACCCACATCCATCTCCGCAAGGACAAGTTCACCGCCAACAAGAGCGTACTCGTCGCACAGCAGATATCACAGGTACTATTTACGACTATACTATAGTCCGACCCACTTGCGCAACTCTTACCATGCGGTCAAACAATGCTGTTTGTGCAATTTTATAGTCTAATCCCGGTATTTTTGATGGTTCATTTTGTATGGTCAAAATTATGTTACTTTAATTTTAAAAGTAGCAATTCCTGCCCTTGTTTAATTTACTAAAACAAGTAACACTAACTATAATTTATTTGTAAGGTATGTTTATACAGAGTTTGGCAACAAAGTCCATTGTTTCTTCCAAAATGAAGAAAATCATTTCTAAATTCCCTCTTTACGTTTCAGGGTATGGGCTACCTACACGCGCGAGGCATCATCCACAAAGACCTGAAGACGAAGAATATATTCTTAGAAAACGGCAAAGTAGTGATCACAGATTTTGGTCTCTTCAGCGTTACCAAACTGTGTTTTGGAAACAAGTTAGTACAAAGGTCATTAGAGAACAAATTGCACTATTATCTTAACTAAAACTAACAGGAGTAATTGCACGCTAGCTCACATTTTAATCTGAATAACGCTTGTCAGGTACAGAGGCTCATTTTATTCTCCATTATCATATTTTTTTTGCTCTTAACACAAAGTTACTTGTGGTCGCCTCCTCACATATCAGGGCTCCGATCTAGAATATCAATATTTGTGGACCACACAAAGTTGTACGCAGTCACCACGACCCAAGTATGCCAGAAGTATCACAGGTTGGAAGACAAGAATATTTACGAACATGTAGGAAGCTTTCAACATTTATGTAGTCGTTAGTTATAGTAATGATTCTGTTGTGTGTATTATATAATCCATGTATTGACGGTGTTTCTCCTTTATAGCCTCCGCGGCGACAGCCTGGGTATCCCGGCGGGATGGCTGTGTTACCTGGCGCCGGAGTTGTGTCGCGCGCTCACTCCGCACGCCTCATTACATCTGCCCTTCTCCAAGGCCACGGACGTATACGCGTTTGGGTAACTAATCATACAATATTTTATTCTAATATTCGAAATAATAGTTACTTCAGTCTCGTGATTACCTTCCATAATGGTTTGAGGTGAATGGAAGGTGTTAAATTATTAAGCAACGAAAAGATAATTCTTTCTTGTAGTCTCACTAAATTGGTTTTTCCAGCACGGTGTGGTATGAGTTGTTATGCGGAGAGTATCCGTTCAAGAGTCAGCCGCCGGAGGCAGTCATCTGGCAGGTCGGGAAAGGCGTCAAGCAATCTTTAGCCAATATGCAAGCTTCTAGAGATATTAAGGTAGGATACATACTTTAATGTACTATAGGACCTCTTTTTGACATTGTAAGTCCTGATATATATCGTAATATATAATAAGAATGTACTAATTTTGCTGTTTTTTCGCAGGACATACTAATGCTATGCTGGTCGTACCGGTCCTCTGAGCGGCCCGACTTCCCCCACCTGCTGACGACGCTGCAGAAGCTGCCCCGCAAGCGCCTGGCGCGGTCGCCGTCGCACCCGGTGCACCTGTCGCGCTCGGCCGACTCCGTGTTCTGAGAGCGGCTGCGGGCTCTCTGTGTGCGGCCCTAGCACTGACGTCGGACCGGTCTATGGCCAGTGTGGTACCGCTGTTTATTATCTAGTTTAGGAAATATACTCCATATTATTGTTAGTTTCGTGTAACAGGTACAGATAAATCCACAAAATTCAATCTTAAACTAATGGATTATCGCCCTATCTGCGAAAATCGCCCTGAGTTTCCAGCGATTGGAAAATATACTATGATGATGATAAATGTCTGCTATGGGACAAAAAAACAAAAAAAAACTTTTTAACCTATTTTGACGAATGTAATGTGCAATAAGGACAACGCAACCACACTAGCCAGCCGACCACTAAAGTATTCGCTCACTGAATCTCGTATATCGACGAAATAAATATAACTATTTAAAACTATATTTATATTTTGAATTGTCAAAAATATTACTTTGTTTTCAACTAGTTGGGAGAACAGTGTTTGAATCAGGTTAAATTATTTATTTTCATGTTCATTTTATTCATGGGCTTAAGTTAAGAAGTGAATATTCTTTAATAGAAAGCGTGTAGTCAGTGGAATATTCATTTTTAGGATTATGTGTCAATCAAGTTAGTGTTACGCCATCCAATATTTGCGGGATAAATGTACAAATAACTCGAATACTACAGTCGATTACGGGCCCCATTCTATGTTTAAAGTCATAGTCCAATTGATCTTACAGAAGTTGTTCTCTCGACTAGTTAATTCAAAAAGTTATATTTCAGTATAACACAACAAACGGGTTTTCGATACTTAGTATAAAAACATTTATAAATAAAATGTAAAATATGTTAATAACGTCTATTGTAAGTATATCTTGATCTCTGAATAATCAATAGAATAAATTATATTTTCGTAATTAAAATAATAATTAAATCATGGAAAAAATGAAAAAAAAATGTGAAAAATGACTGCTTTGTTGATAGATTGTATATATATGTACAGTGTTACGATTTTGCTGTGATCGACGAATCGACTGTTCTTAAGCGACAAAGGCCATCTTTCGAGTCAGAAAATCAATTTATCTGTGACCTTATGACCGCTCTTTGTGGCGTAAACGTAGTTCAACTAACAGAAACTATATTTTTCTCTAGAAGAAAATTTTAATGGTTTTTGTTTCTTAGGACAATCGAGATGAATGCACTGATCTTTTGTACATACATTGTATATTCACCACGAGAAAGCCTTAATCATCAATTTATTATTACTTGGTATGTTAAGAAATAATGTCAACTTTAACTAATATTTATAAGGTTTAACCTAAATTCAAAAGTAGTAAAAAGATTTTTCTAGACTTCATATTATTGCCTAACGTCTGATAGCAAAAATTTAGAGAAACGAAGGTCAGTGTATTCAACAAGAATCTTTTTAAACTAGGCTAAGAGTTGACATATTTCATACCTACTACTACATTATTTTTACAGGTTTTGTTAATTAAACGTATTATAATAGTCCCCTTGAAACACGACACGAATTTATTTGATATTACATAGTGTAACGACAGTTTCTTTTAATGTTTAACGCTAAATTATAGAAGTAGTTATTGAGAATATTGGAGTTCAAACAGTTCGTCTATCATGGCTTGAAACTAGTCGAGTGCCTCGTCAAACAGTTACGTGAGTAAGCCGAAAATATAATAATTAATTTAGTATGCCTCACGAAAGTTATAGGATTTGACTGTATTATTTAATTCAATATTCTCCTTCAATATTCTCCATAACTATTGATAACGAAATATGTTTTGTAAATAAAAGAATTATAACATTCCTTTTTGTAGGTTGTTGAAGTTTAAAACTTGATAGTTACTATTCAAGCTGTAGTACATCAGTTTGTATCTTTTTAAAAGTTACCACTTTCTTATATCGTTGCTAAGAGGCTTATCGTTAGTCTAGGCTGAAATACAGGCGATGTTTATGCTTTTAGACGGGTCTAGATGTGACTGGATGTACCTTCCTCACTTTATCCAAAGTTACTTGAGGTTGCCGCTAAGTCATCTCTATGAATTTCGATCCATTCAGTGGAAAATATTTGATATTTATTGCCAGTTGCCCTAATCTCAGTGATTACAAATAAGTTGCCACCTCTAGTCACATTTAAACCCGTTACAAAAGCTCATCATCAAGTCATCAATTAGCAAAAATTTATCATTTAAAATGAAAAAAAAAACGTAACAGCTCATTATTTTATTGTTTACTAAATTATTGTTATAAAGGAAAATTGTTCTGGTCAGTCGACTCCTATTACGATAGTTTGTAAAGTAATGCGCTGACGTCGCGCAGTGTACATAGAAAAGCGCGGGACGTCCGCCATCTTGTAACATATATTTATTAGAAGAGAACAATGGTTGGAATGCAGATGGATGTAGTTATACATAATGTATTGAGATTTGAAACGATTAGGTTAGTTGCATTTGCCAAAATAAATTTCCGAATCACTGTTTTTAGTTGTTTTATTGAATTCTATTTATAATGAAACTTACATGTCTAAAGAAAGAGGGCAGATATTAAAACATTTCACTAACATCTGACAATATGTTATTTACAAGAATGCTCAGTTATGATACTTGTTAGTGGACATGATTGGATGAAACTACAAAATTGCCACAAAAACATTTTTTAGCTTTTTGTTTTCTTGACTTTAATGCAATTTGTTTTCTTGATTTTTAGTATTTGTGACTTATTACTAAATGTATCAATTTTAGTAAACTGTTCTCAGTTTTCGACTGCAGCTGGGATTTTCAAGGAGAAAATTATGTATTAATACATAATAATTTATAAACAATTATTTATAAAAACAATAAGTTAATAAGTACCTATTTATAAATAAATTTATTCATAAAAAATAGGTATCTATAAAAACATAATTTTCCCATGGTGGTTATGGGTGCTTGTCTAATATATTGATTGAATACACCTGTCACATTATCTCATGATGAATTATAATTTATTATTTTAGTCAAATGCCTGATAGGTACATCATAATAAATTAGATGAAAGTAAGTAGTGAAAAGTAATCTTATCAATAATTTATTCCTTTCGAGACAAAGGTAAAGACAAAGGTATATGTCAAATGTACAGTACATTAACTATAGTTTATCTTATCTCATTTTAAACTGTCAAATACCAAGCGGTCACCGGTGACCGCGACCTATTGTTCTTTAATTGTGTCTATAAAACCGGTACTCGACGAGTTAATTTTATTAAAACTAAGTAAGTTAAAATTGAATACTTTTTACTGATGGTAGAGTAAAATAATTATTCATACTTTTTGCTAAATATGTAAATTAAACAAGATACAATGAACATACATAAAACTAAAGAGTAATTCAAATAACTAATTAATTATTCAACACTACAACTGCACTTCACTTTAGTGTCTATGGTTGTAGAAGTCCTTATTTATTTCTTTTTCTTTTCAGTGGTGTTGCAATGTTATGAAATATGTCCAGCCAGTATCCCAGCAATGTTAGTGCACATACTTTTGATCTCGTCATTACTCAGGTACTCAGACCCCAAGATTGCATTCCCTAAAGCTATAGTTTCCCTTAATGTGTTAGCCTTTATCCAAATTCGGCCATTCATGCCTGCTGCAAGTTCAAATGGCCATTGATTCTTTAACGAGTTGATTAAGGGACAATCTGGGTTTAAAATCTTTCTGATTAAGTTCAAAGAGCATTTGAAAACGAAACCATCTTCCAGCACTCCTAAGCGTCCCTTCTTCCCGTGAGAATCGACACAAACTATTTCTGGTTCCATGTCTTTGCTGGCTACTAACATTTTGGCGTATACTACATCTCCAATCACCACTTTAGGTCTGTTTTTTTTCGTAGCGCCTTCGAACGATAGATAAGATAACGATGCCGTACAACTCCCGCCAACGTCGACTCTGAATATATCTCCCGCCTTTTGCACAACTATCCCTATAACATTTTCTCCGCGAGATGGAATATATCGCTTCTGATAGCTATCCACCCAGTATGTGTTAGGAGCTCGTTTCCTCAAAGTGCCAGCTTTGGAAACATAAATCCCGTCGACTTCTTTTTTCAACCCTGGTCCGAGTATAATTTTAGTTTTGTCACCAGCAGTTACGATTTCTTCACATAAATCTCCAGGTAGAACAACGTCACCAACCTTCACCTTCATAGTTGTGTTTAATTATTTAAATAACCGTAAAATATCACATGAAATTGGTGCTTTTTTTTTTAGTAATAAAATGTTTCTAACCTCAAAATTTGTTTTGACGTATGACAATTGACAATCTATAGACCACTAAATTTATTCTATGAATGATTCGTTTTGTTTCTCAAGTGCAGTTTGATTTTACAATAACAATTGTAGTTCTGCAGCAAAATGATTTCAGTAATAAACTAAATCTAACATTTTATAGCCCTATAAGTAGTTGAAAAAATTCATTTTATTTTTTATCTCATGATTATTTTCATAAAATAGACAATAAAACGCAAATACTTCTAATCCACAAACAAAACTAGAGTTTTGACACTGACACACGTCAAACGACTTTGACAGCTGTGACTTCAAGGCATGCAGTTCAGCACGTGTTTTTTATTTGATTGAATGTTTACATGTTGAGTTTATCTAAAAATTAATTTAAAATGCCTGCGACAGTGCATAATGACTTGTTAGTGTATAAGGGCAGTAATTTTTTTCGGCAGAGACTGTTGTTAGCTACTCTGAGTGGTCGTACAATTAAAATAGAAGAGATTCGTAGTACACATGATGACCCGGGTCTTCGAGAGTACGAAGTGAGTTTGATACGATTGTTGGACAAAGTAACGAATGGAACGAGGGTAGAACTTAGTGAGACGGGTACTTCAGTGTACTACCAGCCTGGTATATTGGTTGGAGGACATGTGACACACAACTGTAGCACGCAGAGAGGAATGGGTTAGTATCTGACGAGTTTTATTGAATTTCTAGCTCGTATTCATCTCTGTGCCATTAATTCTGATTTTAATGATATCAACACTTAATTAATGGGCACTTTTTTCATCCCACATACCTAAATTGACATGAATTTATTCTAACAAAACAACTTTTTTAGTGGTATTTTTTGCTCCTTGTCTTGAACTGCTTTATCATTTTACAGGCTATTACCTAGAAGTTCTCCTAGCACTGGGTCCATTCTGCAAGGAGCCATTGAATGTAGTCCTGCAGGGAGTCACACACAGTGACTTGGATGTCTCTGTGGATAAGATCAAGACGGCGGCCCTGCCTGTACTGCTGAAGTTTATATTGGTTGATGATGGACTGGAGCTTAAAGTTGTGAGAAGAGGTGAGTCTATTTTTAAACATGTTTTAATACTCTTACGGCTCAAGTGATTCATCTACTTATATGATTACTCTCTCTCTCTCTGTGCCTGTTTCCTTAAATATATTAGTTCCTTAAAATATTTACATATATTAGTTTAACAGTGTACGGTGAATAGTTGTGGCTTATGTATTTTTGATTAACCTTAGTATGAAATTGTTCAAAGTATGCTAATTTATATAAAAAAGAATTTCTTATTTTTCTTAATTGATACAGGGTGATTTGTAATTCCACCATAATCTCGTATGGACTTATAGAACAGATGAATTCCAAAATTTTTGTAGGAGAAAGGGAATCAAACAGTTATTACAATTTTTAATTTGAAAATAACGCCCGCAGTAAGTCAAAAACAGAAAAGAAACATGTTTGACCTAATTTTATTTTTTATATTATCTTACTAGTAGTTTATTTACCAGTTCTAATCATCAAATACACAATAGTAATATTATTGTGTCTAAAATAAGCAATCCCAAATTTTTTGAATATTGTAAATTTTTTCAAATTTTTCTCAAAAATATGCTTCTCTAACATAAAAATTTACTATGATGCATGTTGTGCACTTTGAACAAAAAACATCTACATTTTTTAAGCTTTCATATAAAGTATACAACTTCAGTTTACCTGGACTAATGCCGAAGATATTACACAAACAATGGACCATGGTTGTAAAATAAAGAAGTTCAACTTACGATTGTTATAAAACCTCATACGAGATTATGGTCGTATTACAAATCAACCTGTATAAAGCTAAACTGTTTCATCGCTATTACAGTTTATAATTTTGTGTTAATTATTTAATTGGAATCTAATTGAACCTTATTCATCTATCAGGAGCGCCTCCTCTCGGTGGTGGAGAGGTAGTATTCAAATGTCCTGTGCGGAGATCGTTGCGACCTCTGCAGTGGACACAGTGGGGACTTGTGAAGAGGATACGAGGAGTAGTGTATGCGCTGCGAGTGTCACCCACCATGGCCAACAGGGTGGTGGAGGCTGCTAAAGGGGTACGATCTTTAACATAATTACTAAAAAGTATGTTAATTAATAGTTGTGTCTGATTAAAGTAGATAATGATTTTTAGCCGGGTCTCAGCAGTACTTGGATCGTCACATTTAAATGTTATAAGTAAAAAAGTTTTATTTATGAAATAAGCTGTTAAACGATCAGACAGATCACCTGATGGCAAGTGCGTTACCAGATTAGAAATTTGAGGATTATTGGAGATTCGGGGATTCGGGGTAATTGGGTCTCCGGTAACTTCATTCCCAAGACAATTTTATTTATTTATTTTATGCTAACAACTACTATTACAGACTAATCTAATACGATAGTGTAAGACAAAATTGTTGTGTTGTTTCACGTCGGTTTTCTGCTCGGCCGTGCCGAAGCATGGCGCATAATTTCAATGTGGGACATTGAAATTATTATAATATTAGTACATTTTTTTTAATAAAATAAAAAAGCTTTTCGTTTCTTACCAAAGTATTGAAAACACTTCTCCAATGAGTTATTATAGAAATTAATCTAATTATTGCATTTTATAATTCCAGGTGATGCTGAAGTTCCTCCCAGACGTTTACATCAACACTGACCAATGTCGCGGCTCCAACGCAGGCAAGAGTCCTGGGTTTGGTATCAGTCTTGTTGCTGAGACTAATGAAAAGACTTACTACTGTGCTGAGGCTGTAAGTATTTCCATACCTTATCCATTAATTTATCCATTAATTATTGGCGACCTCTCGCGTACGGCCCTAGTACGGGTGATGCGTAGCGTGCGTAGTATGGGGGACTGGGATGCCGTCTTCTCCTTTTGCGAAGCAGTCATGCTAGCTAAGGAGGAGGCGGGACGCGTGAGGCAGCGAAGCGCTGTCTCCTCGCAACCCAGCCATCGCGAAGGACACACCGGGCGTCGGGGATCGCGGGACGATCTCTGGCCACCGTAAGCGCGGGCCTGCGGACCTGCGACCAGAACCAGACCCGAAAGTACGGCGCGTCGCATTCCGCGCGCGCATCAAAGTGCAATCAGACCACCACGCATGGGGCCCAACAGGGCTGATGCCGATTTGGAGTCGCGGAGAACCTAACGGGATACCAGGGCTCCGGCTCGAAGCGCAGGAGTAGGAACGGGTGGTTTTTAGTCAGTAAGAGTCTGACACTCCCTTCCGTCTCACCCAGGCGGGAGAAGGCATTCGATGATTTTCCTCCCTTAAAAAAACCCATTAATTATATTTCTATGATGGAACTTTTTAGTTACTTCAATAAAAATATTTCTGCAAATAGTCAGCAATAGCCTGATTGGCAATTATGCTTTCTAACCATTTGGGGTTGAAAGGGCCGTGGGGCCCAAGTGCATATTGAGGTGTGGGGAGCTAGTGTAAAATAAAACAATACGTCTGTCTCGTTTCACGGTGCTCTTTAATCTGACCCACTAACTACTAACTACAATAAGGTATACCCCACTTCACCTCCGGGGTAAAAGAAAAAAAAAATTAAATTTAAAGATTACATTTTTTTTTGAACTTACAGCTAATTGCCAAACATAAATGTTAAATGCTAAATCCTTAATCATGTAAAGATTAAATGTACTTAAATTAAGCTTACATAATAAAATTTATTTATCTTTAACAAATAATTTTGTTCTATTTTTGTGAACAACATCAATTTTTCCATTTTTCATGATTTTTACATTTGGTTCTTGTTCTTCTATTACAATATATGGGCCGTCATATAAAGGTTTTAATTTATTTCCTGTTTCATTTTTTACTAACAACATATCATTTGGATTATACTTTATTTGATTTACAGTTTTATCATAAATTTGTTTTCTTTTCTCTTTACACTTTAACAAGTTTTCTCTGGCATCTCTATTAGCTACTTGTAACCTGTATTTAATTCTAAACTGTAGTTATCAGGATTGTACAATGGTTCTATATTAGAAAAAATTCTACTTGGTATTTCACAGGGTTTACCAAAAACTAATTCGTACGGGGCATATTTTGTACTAGAGTGAACTGTATTATTATATGTGAAGCACCAAAATGGTAGCCATTGGCTCCATGTTTCTGGATGATTATCGCACTGTAGTCGTAAAAATGAACCTAGATGTTTATGTACATTTTCAAGTGAACCTATGGTTTGGTGATGGTATGCGGTAGAGTTTAGTTTTTCTATGTTAAGTAATTTACATACCTGTTCCATTGTTTCCGAGATGAATTCTGTGCCACGATCTGTAGTGATTGTTTTGGGAATCCCAAACCTTAAAATGAAATTGTTCACAAAACTTTTAGCTATACTTACGGTTTCCTTATTTTTAAGAGGATAAGCCTCAACAAACTTGCTTAACTCGCATTGAATTGTTAATATGTACTTATTATTTTCTAAATCTATATCTAATGGGCCTACTACATCTAAGAATACCTTTTCTAAAGCATAACTTGCTGTGGTTGTAATAACCATTGGTTCTCTAACATATCTGGAATGTTTCATTTTCTGACATTTCTCACACTTTTGGATGAAGTTCTTGACGTCATTTTCGATTCCTGGCCAGTAAAATTTACGTTTTATATTATTAATCATTCTGCGTACCCCAGCGTGTCCGCTTGTTGGTAGCAGATGATAGTCATTAATAATAAAATTCTTTTCCTCGTCATTGTCTATTCTTTTTATTCCTCTTAAAATACAAATGCGTGGTCCGGACCACTGGTCTATTCCTTTTATTCCTTTTACAATATTTTTTATGAATAACGCGTTATCATCTTTTTTTATAATACAAATCTCTTTTATTCCTAATTTTTCACATATTTTTCTCAAATTTTCCACAAAAACGTCTCGCGTGTAATGTGCTTTAAAATCGAGATTAACATATAATATATTTTTATTGGCTATAAATGCGAAACATTCTGATTCGACATCTACGCTTTTATTCTCTTTCATTTTCTTTAATTCTTCACCTTTCACTAAACTTAACTCGACTGCACCACTCGGTATTCTAAGTATTTCCACAACTTTTGGTTGATCAGGCCAATCGTCTAGGCGAATACTTGGGATACCGCTTTTCACACTATCATTCTCACTTTCCTCCCCTTTCTCAGATTCTCTTATTCTTCTAGCTTGCGCTCTTGTTGTTACTGCTATTATTTTATCATTCATATCTTTTAAATCTTGTGAAGTTACACTTATTCGTGACAAAGCATCAGCTAGTACATTTTCTTTACCTTTGACATATGTTATTTTGAAGTCATACTCTTCTAGGGCTAATCGAAATTTCAGAAGTCTACTGGACGGATCTTTCATTCCAAACAGGTATATCAAAGGTTTATGATCTGTCATTATAGTGAAAGTACGTCCGAATAGGTATGGTCTGAAATATTTTACACTCCAAACTATTGCGAGAAGCTCTTTTTGTATTGTCGGATAATTTAGTTCTGCTTTATTCAAAGGCCTGCTAGTATAAGCTACTGGTTTCATGTCACTGTTACAAAGTACTGAGCCTATCACTGTTCCAGAAGCATCGGTTTGTAATATAAATTCGTTCGAAAAATCTGGGTATGTTAAAATGGGTGGTGAAATAAGAGTATTTTTCAAAAAATTAAATGAATTCTCACATTGCTCCGTCCATTCAAATTTAGTATTTTTCCTACATAGTTTATTTAAACAATTGGTTATTTCTGCAAAATGTTTTATGAATTTTCTATAATAATTACACATAGCAACAAAACGTCTGACTTCATCAACATTAGTTGGTCTTGGGTAATTTTTTATACATTTAACTTTTTCTGGATCAGGGCGGATCCCTCCAGAAGATATTGTGTGACCTAGATACAATAATTCTGTTTTTAAAAATTGACATTTACTCGGATTTAATTTAAGATTGACTTTACGTAAACGTTCAAAAATTTCAATTAGGTTTTTATTATGTGATTCCAAATTTCTGCCAAAACAAATGCAATCATCTAAATATATAAAACAATTTTATAGTTTAGTCCTGACATAGCAATAGACATTGTCCTAGAGAAGGCACTGGGGCTCGTTTTTAAACCCATTGGTAGGCGCTTCATCTGGTATTGTCCTGTACTTGTGGTAAATGATGTAATTGGTCTAGACTCTGGTTTTAATGAACATTGGTAATAAGATTGACTAAGGTCTAAATGTGAGTAGTATATAGCACCTGATAACGAGTCTAAAATGTCGGTAATATTTGGTAATGGGAATTTGTCATCTTGAATTACCTCATTTAATTTTCTGTAATCGATCACTAAACGCCACTTTTTAATTTTCTCATTATCTGATTTTTTAGGAACTAATAATATCGGACTGGACCATTCACTTTGTGATGGTTCAATTATGTCATCGTCTAACATTTGTTTAATCTGATTTTCTATTTCCGGTTTTAAACTATGTGGTAATCTGTATGGTTTGGTATATACTGGACTTACATTTTGTTTTAAATGAATCGTTTGTTCCTCTAAGTTAGTAGTAGTAAGCTTATCGCCGGGTAAATGAAATATGTCGGTATATTTAGAACAAATACTCTCTATACTGTTTCGTTCGCTTGTACCTAAGTGATCAAGTTTCAAGGTTTGCAACAATGTTGTTGCTCGTGTGGGATTAGAGTCACATTTATTAAACGAGCATACATTGTATTGTTTTAAAGGTAATAATTCAGGTTGAAAAACTGAAATAACTATATCTTTATCGCTGGTATTCATTAGCCTGATAGGTATTATGTTATTTTTTGGTTTTACTATCAACCCAGCCAAAAATAAATTTTCTTGTAACTCCTTCTGCACAATCACACTGTCTTCTCTCACATCTGAGGTTAGCTTTATATAATGAATAGTTTCGCATCGTGCTGGTATTGTTATATATGCAGTACACAATTTGGGTGAGGTATGTAAAGGCAATATGCTTTGTTTTTCTTTTGTTAAAGTTAATATATTTTTCTCTAAATTAATAGTAGAATTAAAATTGTTCAAAAAGTCTAAACCTATAATTCCGTCAGATTTACAAGGTAAATTGTCAAATAAATAAAATTTATGTTCATAAAATGTTTCATCGGAAGCCTGCAAAGTTAAATAAACATATCCTTCTGAGTACGTCTTACCACCTATACCGTTTATAACTATAGGGTCTCTATGTACAGGTATCCGTTCCGATAAGAAATTACTGCGAATTGCTGATATCGAGGCGCCTGTGTCTAGTAACCATGAACATTTTTGATTACCTAACTGCAAGAATATGTATTTTACATTATTGTCACAATTAAAAATATAATGTTTAGGTCCGAAAAAACTGATTCGATTCAGTAGCTTCTTGTTCTTGTGGGTTTTCGACTTGTGCTGAACAAACTGGTCGATTATTACTCCTACTACTGGAACCTCGACTACGATTCGAATTTACAAAATTACCACGATACTGCCGTGCTGGTCGGGAATTATTATATCTCCAGTTATGATTATTTAAGTACTTACCTCTCTGGTTATAGTTGTAATTATTTTGTCCTCGATTCGAATTGTAATGTCCTCTGTTCATTCGACCTACAGGCGGGCGACTTATCCGTGAAGACCTATAGTAATTAAATTGGTTACCTCGCCTTTGCGTTGCATTAAAAATGTTGTTGGAGGACGAAGGCTGTCCCAGCTCTTCATCCTCGGCCGCACGCACCGCGTCCTTCAGCTGCGAGTAG